TTTACCCACGCACATGACAGCTGTTTTTGAATGGCTAAAGAACATATTATTTCACTGTATTATGCTACTGTCTTCACAAAGAAGTGTCTAGAGTCATGAAATGATTATGTCTAGTCATCAACTATATTTTTGTCCTGTTGTTTTATGTTCAAGGCTTTTTTATGCAGGCTACACTAGTCACTTTTCATAACAGTCAATATTAAGCTAAACAAGCCTGCACTGACAACGAGAATTAGAAGGAAGTAAATACATATTTGGGTGGTGTAATAGGCTATTATAATACAATGTCATTAATCAATATATTACGATAACCTGTTATTTAAATTACTAAAATAGCCTATAGACAATAATTAGCAATAATAGGCCTAATTCTCCACATTGCATAAGATGATGCAATGACAAATTCAAGCGCACAGCTTCACCTAATTAATTATTAATTTGTTTAGTTATATAATTTATCATTTGAATTATACAAGAAGAACACCAATAAACTTCGGGTAATCAAAAAAAAAAAAGGTTTTATTCATTACATCAGATCGGATTTTTTTCTTCAGGAAACAGGCAGACTAGAATAAATAGCAACACAGAAGCAAACAATAAACTATGGAAATGGCAAAACAAAAAATAAATGATCCAAATTTTTAACAATTATGAGTAACATTAGGATAAAACGTCTAAATATGATATATTGATTGCCATCAGATGCTGAGCCGACAGGACACTTTACTTATCTCCCCACCATCAGACTCTCCATCACTCATGGCATTTAGTGCTTCTTATACCTCTTCAGCATTCATAAATCGCCTTCTTTTACTCATTTGGTCTTTATTTATGAAACTGATAACCGCTAATTCAGTGAGTGAAAGACGTTGCCTAGCAATGTACTATGTTAAAACATAAGTGGCACGAAAATTACGTGAACAAAGGCATTATATAGCGGGTAAATTTGACCCGCGCTGGCACTTATATGTAGGTATAAATGCCCCATTTTTTGATCTGGTTTTATCTAAACAGTTTTTAACAACAGGGGATTGTAAATCACACAATTTTAGTAAAAGTCAGTGAGTGGGAGACTTGAATGTTTTATTAAAAATATTTTATGTACGTTTTAAAAACAGCCACGGGTAAAATTTAATTAATTTAATTATGCTGAGCCGACAGGACACTTTACTTATCTCCCCACCATCAGACTCTCCATCACTCATGGCATTTAGTGCTTCTTATACCTCTTCAGCATTCATAAATCGCCTTCTTTTACTCATTTGGTCTTTATTTATGAAACTGATAACCGCTAATTCAGTGAGTGAAAGACGTTGCCTAGCAATGTACTATGTTAAAACATAAGTGGCACGAAAATTACGTGAACAAAGGCATTATATAGCGGGTAAATTTGACCCGCGCTGGCACTTATATGTAGGTATAAATGCCCCATTTTTTGATCTGGTTTTATCTAAACAGTTTTTAACAACAGGGGATTGTAAATCACACAATTTTAGTAAAAGTCAGTGAGTGGGAGACTTGAATGTTTTATTAAAAATATTTTATGTACGTTTTAAAAACAGCCACGGGTAAAATGTAATTAATTTAATTCATATTTTTATTCAGCTAGGATGCTTTAAAAATTGATCAAAATTGACAGTAAGACTTTGTAATGTTAAAAATGATTTCTACTGTAATTAAATGCTGTTCTTTTAAACTCTCTATTCAATGAATAATGAAAAACAAATATCACGGTTTCTGCAAAAATATTAAGCAGCACAATTCTTTTCAACAATAAGAAGAAATGTTTCTTGAGCACCAAAATAATAATTAAAATGATTTCTGAGGGATCATCATATGACACTGAAACTTGAGTAATGGCTGCTAAAAACGCTTTGTCATAACAGAACTAAATTATATTTGAAATTAAAATAGACAAGAGTTGTTACACTATAATTAGGGATGGGTACCGAAACACAGTATTTAATCGGTCCCGGGGCTAAATTATGAAAGACCGAGAAAGAGTATCGATAAGCTCTGACGTTAACGGTTCTGCTATCGGTACTGGAGAAATTAATAAAACACACATCCATTTATTATTGCTATATATCCTCCTGAGAACCAGAAATAAAAAGCTTTGTGAATTTAGTATTTTTTCATGTCATTACATTGTTTAGAGCATAAGAAAAAAATGGTAAAATAACATTTTTGGAAAATTATATAAAAAAAATGAACTTAAATGATTTTAGCAAATGGCTGCAATATAACAAAGAGTGAAAAATTTAAGGGGGTCTGAATACTTTCCGTACCCACTGTATATATATAAAACAAAAAGTACCGATAAGAATACCGTTAAATTACCGAATTGATAAGCAGTACCGGTAAGAGTAGTAATACCGTTAAAACCTTAACGATACCAATCCCTAACTATAATAATATTTAACCATATTATTTTATGATAGTGAAAAAGCTAGTGAAAAGTTTGGAAACACTTGACTGAATTAATATTTCTCATTATCTCATAAAACTTCTTATTTAAAGACTTACAGTTAAATGTTTCAAACTAGGACTGTGTCTATGCACAAATTTCTTTACAAAACTTCTTTAAAACTAGTTGGCAGAGCTGTAGTCTAGGCAAAGGGTGACTACTTTGAAGAAGCTAAAATAGAAGATCACTTTTATTTTGCTTGACATTTTTGGCCACTACACAATTATCAAACTCTCATTTGTGTCATTTCATTGTTCTGATGACTTTACTACTATTCTAAAATATAGAAAATATTAACAAAGAATGAGTATGTGGATCCAAACTTCTGACTGGTAGTGTAAATATGAGCAGACACAAACCTTCCCCTTCTGCTGGTACTTCTGCAGTTCCTCCAGCACAAAGTCCACCTGCTTTACTGTGGTAAGGGAGGCGATGTTTCCCTCCAGGTTCTTGCAGTAGTGCTGAGCATTGTCATAGCTCTCCCTGCTGGAGTTGATCTGCAGACAGGCCTCCCCAACATTGCTCCAGCCGTCTCCACACAGCTGGGCTACAGAGAGGTCATAAGATGACTTAATTATAGGAATTAGGAGCTTTTTCTCAAGCCTCATATTTTTTCCATTTCTCGTTTGATCTCTGAGCCAATAGCTAATTCAAGCAAAGTGGCCAGTTAAAGAAATTTCCACAGTGGAAAATGCCAAGCACAATCAGACTGAATCATTTAGAAAATTTACAAAGAACACAAAAGGTGTTGTGAATCTCAGATTTAAATAGAGCACAGACACCTACAAATTCATGTACAAAACAAATTAAATAAGCTTTATTTATCTTTAGTTAAATTACAAAACAGATATAGTGGAAGGAAGAGCTTCTGGCGAACACAGGCTCTGATTAAAAAATGAGTGACCTTCCTGTCTAGACAACATTTTAAGGTAACATAGGCACACTCTCTTCACAAAGGCTGTTCCAAAAGGTGAGATAGCTACTTTTGGCCAATATATAAACCCATAATGCACTACAGCAAGCTCATTGAATAAAATCTAATCTAAAGTGGCAGATGCATTCAGAGTGTATTCAAACCACTTTTTTTTAACCAATACACATGTGCTATGTTAATATCTCTCCTATCATACTCTGCTGCTCTTACCAGGAAGGGTGTGGCATTCCTGCTGTTGAGGATCCCACTGGCAGCTGAGGTTGAGAGAGCAGCTCTTGCAGTTGGCCATTTTACTGCAAATCTGCTCATTTCTGATTGGACATTTGGTGAAATTCTTCACAGTCTAGTTAAAAAAAAAAAAAAAGAGTCATCAACAAACACAGGAATACTAGTGCATAGAATTGTGAGGTGTAACACCGGTGCCCTCTGCAGGCCATTCAGTGTCACATGATTCTTCAGAAACCATTTTATTTTATTTTGATTTTGATTTGGTGTTTTAAGAAAATATGACTTATTTTTGAAAACTGTTATGCTACCTAATATGTTTCTGAAAACTGTGATCCTTTTTTCAGGATCCTTTCATGAACAGAAAAGTTCAAAAGAATGGCTTTTATTTGAAATGGAAATCTTTTGTAACATTATCAATTTCTTTACTGTTACCTTTGCTCAATTTAATGCATCCTTGCTGAATAAATGCATTAATTTTGTTTAAAAAAAACTTACAGACCTCAAACTTGAAATGAATGGTACAAAGTTACCAAGTTCTATACCAGGGCTGTCCAAACTCGGTCCTGGAGGGCCGGTGTCCTGCAGAGTTTAGCTCCAACCCTAATTAAACACACCTGAACCAGCTAATCAAGCTCTTACTAGGCATAGAAACTTCCAGTCAGGTGTGTTGAGGCAAGTTGGAGCTAAACTCTGCAGGACACCGGCCCTCCAGTACCGAGTTTGGACAGCCCTGTTCTATACATTCTCCACCACTTCAATATGTTAAATATTTCTACCAATAATAATAAGGTACTCGCTGCTCCTTTAACACATTTTACTGTTACACATTCAGTTCCTTTTTCCCCTCAAAATCAATGCTGAATATGTAAAAAAGACCACAGATTTTATCTGGGGCAGATTATAAGCAGTAATGGCCACTATATGTAAATGAGGACACGCACACACGCAGTCTCCTGTCTGCCACTCCAGACACTGGCCGTAGGGAAAGGAGATGACGTAGGCATTGGAGTCCACGCAGCGTTTGGTGCTTCCACACCACATGCACTCCATGGCCTGGCTGGTGCAGTTCTCACAAGAGGTGCGCAAAGAGCAGGGCATCTTACATGGTCGGGCGTTCTGGTTCGGGCTCACTGCAAGGGAGGAAATATGTATGAGATTACTGAAAAGGGAATGTGTATGTATATTATTGGCTTATTTCCAAGCTCTCACTAAGAATAAAAGGGAAACAGACTCACCGACTGGTTTCTCACAGATGAGGCCGTCTGTGTTGGCGGTGCAGGGATTCGCCCTGAGGCCAGAGACCTGAGCTCTCTCCAGGTAAGCACAGAAGCCTGAGTCATTGGGCTCACCAGGCAGCCACTGCAGAGAGGTGTTAGTGAATGGAGACATGTCCTCCCAGCCCCAGTATGACACGTTGATCTTCCTCAGGCCAACCCATGGGGACAGTTTCTGCAGGACAAACGCAATGAGTCACGCAAACAAAATTAGGAACTAAAATTTTGAACAGCGTGTGCGTCAATCATTATTATTATTAGAATGTGAGTATACACTGCCATTAAATTTTTCTAAGGAATTAATATTTTTATTCAGCAAGGACGCTTTAAGACAGCAAGACATTTGTTATGTTACAAATGATTTCTACTGTAATTAAATGCTGTTCTTTTGAACTTTCTATTCAAAGAATTATGAAAAACAAATATCACAGTTTCCACAAAAATATTAAGAAACTTATAAATATATATAAATACATAGTACAGCACACACACACATATTATATAAACACAATCATTTATTTTGGATGCGATTAATTACGGATTAATCGATTTGACAGCACTAATTAAAAGATAAAACAGTTGTTATACACAATATAAACAATAATATTGTTAATAATTTTTTATAAAGTTAGAGAAAATTTGGACACACTTGAGTGAATTAATGAATAGCTGCGTCTCATTTAGAAGGCTGCACCCTCCGGAGGTCGAATTCTCTGGAGGTCGCATCCTCTGTAGCATGCATATACGAAGTGTCCTCAACCTAGAATTAAACGAGACGGCCTTCGTAGGACAGGCGGAAAAGGAAACCGGAAGTATCACGTTGCTATGCCAACACATTTAGAGCATCGTTGCGCTCTCACACTACTTAAATGAAGGAAAATTATTTCTAAATTTGGTAAGTAATTTGAAAAAAAAAATGCTTTTACTTGTTTTATTTTGTTCAATGTTTGAGGAGCTGCAGCGTACCTACAGCAGGCATCTATTAGAGAAAAAAAGGAGGAGGATATTAAAAACAAAGTTTATCCGTTATTACCGAGGCGAATTAAGGTAAGTTGTAAACACCACATCTGCACTTGTGTGTACATTACATCTTTGCATCTTGTTCAAGGCGACGCAAAGAATTGTGGGTTATCTGTAGCAGTGAAGGATACACCTCATGCATCCTACGAATTCCTGTGAAAGAAGGTCGCATTCAAAGGTCGCATTCGGAGTGTCCTACTTGCTATTCTGAAATGAGACAGCCTCGATGACGTATGCAGCCTTCGAATGCGACCTCCGGAGGGTGCAGCCTTCTAAATGAGACACAGCTAATGTTTCTCATGATCTCAAAAAAACATCTTATTTAAAGACTTATGGTTAAATGTCAGAAACTAGGATTGCCTATGCATTAATTTCTTTATACAACTAACACTTAAAAATGGTTGAGTTGGATCAGATAGTGAAGAAAAATCAGCCAAAAAGTAGCCAGCATACATTTTACAATCCTTAAATACCGTTTAAAATCATTCCATTTGGACGTTGGTTGAGATAATGAAGACCAAAGAGTTGGCTACTTTGAAGAGGCTAAAATATTTTGCTTGACATTTTTGTTCAAAACATAATTATCCAATTTGTGGATAAGTTCTAATGACTTTACTACTACTCTAAAATGTGGAAAATACTTCTTACTGGTAGTGCAAATATGAGCAGACACAAACCTTCCCCTTCTGCTGGTACTTCTGCAGTTCCTCCAGCACATAGTCCACCTGCTTGCCTGTGGTAAGGGAGGCGATGTTTCCCTCCAGGTTCTTGCAGTAGTGCTGAGCATTGTCATAGCTCTCTCTGCTGGAGTTGATCTGCAGACAGGCCTCCCCAACATTGCTCCAGCTGTCTCCACACAGCTGGGCTACAGAGACGTTACGAGATGTAGAGGAATTAGGAGCTTTTAACTCAAGCCTCATATTTTTCCCATTTCTCGTTTGATCTCTGTTCTTCAGAGACAGCAGGAGAGCTCTTAACATAATGAAAATTCCTCTTCAGAACCAAGTGAAGCTTTAAAAGAGCCAATAGCTCATTTAAGCAAAGTGGCCGGTTAAAGAAATGTCCACAGTGGAAAACGCCAAGCACAATCAGACTGAATCATTTAGCAAATTTACAATTTAAAGAAGACAAAAGGTGTCATGAATCCCAGATTTCTTAGGTCAAAATTTACAAAGAGCACAGACCCCCACAAATTCATGTACAACACAAATTAAATAAGCTCTTTAGGTCATTTACATATCAGCGATAGTGGCGGAAAAAGAGGGGGGTGTCTGTTTAAGTCTGCTGAACACGGGCTCCGTTCAAAAAAACTAGTGACCTTTCTGTCTAGACAACATTTTAAAGTAACATAGGAACGCTCCCGTCACAAAGGCTGTTGCAAAATGCAAGATAACTTATTTTGGCTAATATACAAACCCAGAATGCACTGTGGCAAGCTCACTGATTTAAATTAATCTAAAATGGCAGATGCATTCAACTAATTAAAATGCACTATTTTACCAAATATATGTGTGCTACATATTTTTATATCACATCAGTAATTTAGCAGCATGTTATAGGAATAGTTTCTATGTCAGTAATAGTTGGAGGAAGTGTTATTATGGACTGGAATTTTGGCCAGAAGCAACAGTTTAAAGTTTATTCTGTTAATGTGTGAAAATTGCTTGACAAGCCCATTTATGGCCATCAATCTCTGTTCGCAAAATAAAATATCTCTCTTATCATCCTCTGCCATTCTTACCAGGAAGGGTGTGGCATTCCTGCTGTTGAGGATCCCATTGGCAACTGAGGTTGAGGGAGCAGCTCTTGCAGTTGGCCATCTTACTGCAAATCTCCAAGTTTCTGATTGGACATTTGGTGAAATTCTTCACAGTCTAGTTAAAAAAAAAAAAAAAGAGTCATCAACAAACACAGGAATACTAGTGCATAGAATTGTGAGGTGTAACACCGGTGCCCTCTGCAGGCCAACTTACAGCACTACAGTTACTGAGAGCTGAGATGCACTTCTTGCTGTCACACCACTGACATCCATTAGTGTTGGCGGTACAGCTGGTGCAGTCTGAAAAACGGTAACATCTCTCATCCACCGTGGCTAGAGCAGAGACAGATCGAAAAAAAGAAAGTAGAAACGTATGGCAGAGATAAAGAGCAAAAAAAGTCTAGTCCAAAGAAAAATGACACTCCTAAATATTAATATCCAACAGTTTTGAGACATACATTAATCTAGAGAGACATCTAAGCTCTTCCACAGCCAACTCTCATATCAGACCTTTAACCAAAGTAGAAGAGAAACATTTAGCACTTCAAACATCTTCCATTCCCTATTTACTTCTAATCGCAAGACTTCAAACAGTGTGACTTATGTAAAGAATCAAAGAGGCCTCTGTTCTTCGTCTTTCTTTTGACAATCCTTTATTCAATAATAGCGAGTGTCTCCATGTCCTTACTTCACTACAGAAACATTTGTTTCCCCCTCTCTACTCTTTCACTCACACCACAGCAACATTTCTTGCACAGCTGCTGAATCTACGGCAAATCTATCATTTTGAATCATTCTATTGAATTATGTCATCAGAAGCAGTTATTCACTCACTTACTAAAAGGATCATTATATGACAAGATGTAGTTATATAAGTGCATTCACAAGAATTTAAATGTAAACAAAATACATGTGTGAGTGTATGTATACAGTGGGGGAAAAAAGTATTTAGTCAGCCACCAATTGTGCAAGTTCTCCCACTTAAAAAGATGAGAGAGGCCTGTAATTTTCATCATAGGTATACCTCAACTATGAGAGACAAAATGAGAAAGAAAATCACATTGTAGGATTTTTAAAGAATTTATTTGCAAATTATGGTGGAAAATATGTATTTGGTCAATAACAAAATTTCATCTCAATACTTTGTTATATACCCTTTGTTGGCAATGACAGAGGTCAAACGTTTTCTGTAAGTCTTCACAAGGTTTTCACACACTGTTGCTGGTATTTTGGCCCATTCCTCCATGCAGATCTCCTCTAGAGCAGTAATGTTTTGGGGCTGTCGCTGGGCAACACGGATTTTCAACTCCCTCCAAAAAGAAGTTGTTACAGGTCTGTGAGAGCCAGAAATCTTGCTTGTTTGTAGGTGACCAAATACTTATTTTACCGAGGAATTTACCAATTAATTCTTTAAAAATCCTACAATGTGATTTTCTGGATTTTTTTTTTCTCATTTTGTCTCTCATAGTTGAGGTATACCTATGATGAAAATTACAGGCCTCTCTCATCTTTTTAAGTGGGAGAACTTGCACAATTGGTGGCTGACTAAATACTTTTTTGCCCCACTGTGTATATATATATATATATTCAAAGAGTGATTTTATCCAGCAGCAAAAACTGAATTTCAGTGATTCCTGATTTAGTTTTTGCACCAAGAAAACCCCAGGTTCTCTCTGTCACACACACACTCTGGTGCACTATCCTTGTAGGGACTCCCATAGGCGTAAAGGTTTTTATACTGTACAAACTGTATTTTCTATCGCCCTACACCAACCCTACACCGAAACCTACCCCTCACAGAAAACTTTCTGCATTTTTGCAATCTCAAAAAAACTCATTCTGTATGATTTGTAAGCTTTTGTACCCAGGGGAACCTCAATTTAGATCCCCACAGTGACACAAGTCCCCATGGTCTGTATTCAGGTTTAAGTCCCCACCAGTGAAGAAAAACCTGTACACACACACACACACACATCCCCTCTCTATATTTGAATGTTTATGATATTAAATGTATAGATTGTTTGTTTTTAATTAATATTTAAATACTTATTTACAAATAAAAGTAATAAAAAAATACCAAACACTTCTTACCAAAAACTTTCACCAACCTGAAGATAAAACAGTCCTTACTTCATTTTGAATTACTGAATTAATTGAATGATTCAAATCAAGCCATTTTAACTGATTGATTAAATTAACCGGATCATAAGAGTAATATGTTCATGAATAGTACATAGACTTTTTTATTTCATACCAGTTAATTCAGACTGCAGGCTCGCTCTCTGCAGAATACACTGAAACACTCACGCACCATAAACAAGGCCATCGCTGCCAGGGATTATCCCAGCATGCACCTCTCAGGCATGAGAGACCTCAGGTTTGAATTTCAAATCAAACAAAATGAAGCCAAATATTCCATTGGCTGGAGGGCTACACACTCACTCTCAAAGACTACATTTTGGCTGGTTTTGTGTGATCGGTTGTGTTCTGACAGGTGGCAAAAGTTCAAACAGACTGGCAGTCCTGCAGAGCAAAGAAGGGCTGTGGGAAACTCTCCACTGTGTCTGCTTCAGACAGCTTGTGCCCCCCTCCATTACTCTCTCATTAACACAGCCAGTGCATAATGAAGCAGACAAACCTGAGGGCTCAGATCGGTACACACAAGAACAACTGATTTCTTGGCTTGGGCACGGTGGTAAATGTTTTAGCTGAGGGTGGCAGGGGAGTCTTTAAGCCTCTTCCAGATACCTACCAGCTTTGGCAGGGCACAATGGAGCAGGTGTAGCTCTGTTAGTGAAGCTGGGCTCCCAGGACATGCAGCGGCCCCCTTTCCAAATGCAGCGCACACCAGGGCCTGCGGCCTCACAGCGCTCCTGCCCCAGGAAGGCCTCACAGCTGGGTGGCCTGTAGATTAGTACATCATTCAGAAGGACACTGGAGAAACCCCCAAACACATACATGGACCTAGAAGGAGAAGAAGATGAAGACATTTAAATATACAACAATATTTTGTGAGAGCGTGTCAGTGTGTTTATTCAGATTTCTCACCCATTACTGGTTACTGCCGTATGTCCAAAGCGATTCACGTCTCTGTGCAAGTTTGGTTTGGAAAGGACCTTCCACTCATCACACGCTATAAGAAAAAAAAATAATAATAAAATAAAATAGAAAATAAAATAAATTGACCAAATTATTTCAATGACTTTTTGCAGGGCACAATGGAGCAGGTGTAGCTCTGTTAGTGAAGCTGGGCTCCCAGGACATGCAGCGGCCCCCTTTCCAAATGCAGCGCACACCAGGGCCTGCGGCCTCACAGCGCTCCTGCCCCAGGAAGGCCTCACAGCTGGGTGGCCTGTAGATTAGTACATCATTCAGAAGGACACTGGAGAAACCCCCAAACACATACATGGACCTAGAAGGAGAAGAAGATGAAGACATTTAAATATACAACAATATTTTGTGAGAGCGTGTCAGTGTGTTTATTCAGATTTCTCACCCATTACTGGTTACTGCTGTATGTCCAAAGCGATTCACGTCTCTGTGCAAGTTTGGTTTGGAAAGGACCTTCCACTCATCACATGCTATAAGAAAAAAAATAAATAAATAAAATAAAATAGAAAATAAAATAAATTGACCAAATTATTTCAATGACTTTTTCTTGTGTACTGTTTCAACCATTTCATTGAAAAAAACAAGTTTAAGAATGACTTGCTCATGAATCAGACATCATATGCGACATCTAGCTAAATAAATATTTTACAGCATAGAACAACTGCAAAGTTGGAATTTCCATAACTTTTTGGATTGTATTCATTTCTGTGACTTTTTTTCGGAAATTTCTTTAGGCTTTCCATGTGGGAATGATGACAACTGCACACTGCCATTTCCAAAGTTTGGGGTCAGTAAGTTTTTTTCAGCAAGGATTCATTAAATTGATAAAAAAGTGACAGTAAAGATTTTTTACATTGTTACAAAAAAATCTATTTCAAATAAATGCTGTTCTTTCGAACTTTCTATTCATCAAGGAATCCTGACAAAAATCCAGAAAAATATTAAGCAGCACAATTGTTTACAACATTGATAATACTAATAACTGAAGACTGCAGTAATGGCTGCTGAAAATTCAGCTTTTCCATCACAGGAATTAATTGCATCTTCAAATATATATTAATAGAAAAAAAAGTAATTGTAATAATATTTCACAATATTATTTTTACTGTATTTTTCAAATAAATGCAGCCTTGGTGAGCATAAGAAATGTCTTTCAAAAACATTTTTAAAAATCTTACCGACCTCAAAACTTTTTAATGGCAGTGTATGTCAAACGTGCAGTAAAGTAACACCACAAACCAATGTCATAGGCGAGGAAATCAGCAGAGAAGCACTTGGCTCCATTGCTAAGAGAGGTGTCATTATGGGTATTTCCTCCAAAGATGATCAGCGTTCCTCCCAGCAGCACAGACGAATGCAGGTAACGTGGGTAACCACTTTCCCTAAGAATCGTCCTGCAACACACAAAAAACATCAAACTGTTGTACCAAAAATTAAACTAAGTGTTCCTCTCAAACTGACAAATTTACAACATTTTTTGTTTTTTTGAATAAGTATGTGCACTCTTACCATGTACGGGACTGAACCTCATAGCGGTAAAGATCATCCACCAGGCCGTATTTGTTTGCTGGAAGAGATTTGTAGCCCCCGTGGACGTACACGCTCTTGCTGCTGCTGTCGTACACGCTGCTGTGGCCGTACCCACCCTGAGCGATCGCTCCTCTGGTCTCTGGCACCAGCCATGTGTTTGTTCCTGTACACACAAATAAAATTATTTACTTTCAAATTAAAAAGTGCACATTTAAGTTTAATATTTTCTTTAAATATAAAACCTGCTTTGCCTCTCCATAACCAGTCTGTGAGAATTTGACATGATTAAGCGTATTTCAGTATAATGAGTGGAATAACAATGAGTTACCTCATCCCAATGAGATCTGGTTTGTGGTATGAGTTCACAACACTTGTAAGATCACTTGAGAACAAAGATTATGCCCTGATCCAGGAGTTTAACAGGATTAAAAAAGGTACAGATTATCCAAAAGCTTCAGAGATAAAGAGCCTCTGGATACATTATTTGCTCACAGCTCTTTGCAAAGAACCACAGCTCCATCTACTGGACCAAAAATCAAATGTGTTTCAACATACAGATACAGACTCCTGCAGATCTACTTGTTTTACAGTTGTTCTCAAAATGTGTCTCTATGTGACCCTGGAGCACAAAACCGGTCTTAAGTAGCACAGGTATATTTGTAGTAACAGCCAACAACACACTGTATGGGTCAAAATTATAGATTTTTCTTTAATGCCAAAAATCATTAGGATATTAAGTAAAGATCATGTTCTATAAACATATTTTGTAAATTTCCCACCGTAAATATATCAAAACTTAATTTTTGATTAGTAATATGCATTGCTAAGGACTTCATTTGGACATCTTTAAAGGCGATTTTCTAAAAAAACATTTTTGCACCCTCAGATTCCAGATTTTCAAATAGTTGTATCTCAGTCAAATATCCTAACAAATAATACACCAATGGAAAAGCTTATTTATTCAGCTTTCAGATGATGTATAAATCTCTATTTAAAAAAATTGACCCTTATGACTGGTTTTGTGGTCCAGGGTCACATATTGTCTTTAAATAACAACAAAATGTACAACCAGTGTTAATATTGTTAACAAAAATTATCAAAACATTTTATTATTTAATTTTTATATAACTATTTTTTAAATTTGTAACTATTAAAAAGTTTTTTATTGAAATAAAGCAGAAATGAAATATAAATATTCAATGGAAATAAAAAAATTTAAATGTTGCCTTGGAAACTGAAATAAGTTTAATTTGAAGTACTAAAATTACTAAAACCAAAATTAAAATAAAAAGAAAGCGAAATATAAAAAAAATAAAAATCTAAAACTAATACAAATAAAAACAAAATTATAAATAATTAAAACGAAAGCTATTTCAAAATATGATTAAATACTATGATACTACATAAATAATACTAAAATACATTCTACAACTTTTTTGGGTACTTGCAGCACTTTTCAATCCCAATCAAATACACTACTCAGTCACTCACTGATGTTGTACTCCTGAACATTGCTGATGTAGCTGTAGATGGAGGAGTAGCCGAAGATGACAACCATCACCACATCACCGTTATCCAGCTCTACTAAATGGGCGGAGTGGCCTTCCACAGCGTAGATCTGGCCGTGGGCTGGCACACTGGGGGACTTCTGCGACCATGTCATTTTGGGTATGTTAAACACCCACAGTTCATCTGTTACGTTACTGGCACCCATCTCCAACTTGCCTCCAAACATGTAGATGTCATTCTAAAAGATACAAAAACAATTTAATAACATGTTTCAAGAAAGTTTAATTTAATAGCATATTTCAAAAAAGTACTGGTCAATATTCTAGACTGAGGTTTGCCAAAATCAACATGCTAATGATGTGATTAAGGGCCAGATTTACTAAACAAGGCAAATTAGTGTGAGAGCGCAATACTATAGCACAGATGGGAGTGGAAAGTTCTGCAGTTGATCTACTGACAATGCACACATTAAAGAACATCGTAAAACAACTGTGGCGATTTCTGTGATCGTGGCTCCTAAACGGTGGTCCTATGTCGTACAGTGAGAGAGGTTCAAAGACGGCCATTGTCACAGTCTTGCGACCAAAGACAGCCTACGATCATTTTCCGACAGTGTCAGAAATTCAGCATGATCATCGCACAGTGTATTTGCTGCTACGACACATGTTTACTGACCAGCCACTAAAAATGCAACATGAAATCAATCATGGCGCTAAAACATAAAACTGCTTCCCTCAAGCTCTAATCCCTTCTTTCGCCGTTTCCACTTTTTTTCAACACACATAAAAACTAGAACTTTCAAAGTGATTCATCATGCTCTTTTTGTTTATCACTAGTGCATGCTAATGACGTTTTACTCTTCTATAGTAATGTGCATTGTAGCCTACGAGTTAATAGGTGTCATCATCGTACAGTCTGCATGCATGTCGTACCCAAGTTTATCAGATTCATGTCGCATGTTAATAAATCTGGCCCTACTGTTCAAAAGTCTGGAGTCAGGAAGATTTTTTTTTTTACATTTAGTTTGTGTGCTGTTCTGACATGCATTTTTCTGAGCATGTACACCTGAAGTGCGCAGATGATTGCATGCATAAACTGTGGAGTTTTTTTACTTTAACTATTGCAGAGAAGACAGTAGAATAAGTGTTGTTGCAGGATACTATTGCTCGGATAATCAAAGCAGATCTTTGTATCTGCATACACAAACCAAAAGCTAGAACATGTAATCAGCTAAATAGCCTTGTTCACTCATTCTGACACCGATTACAGCTATTTAGCTTAAAGACAAATAAAAAATATTCTTGCTACATTTTTTTACAACAGTGCTGTTCTGACATGCATTTTTCTGAGCATGTACACCTGAAGTGCGCAGATGATTGCATGCATAAACTGTGGAGTTTTTTTACTTTAACTATTGCAGAGAAGACAGTAGAATAAGTGTTGTTGCAGGATACTATTGCTCGGATAATCAAAGCAGATCTTTGTATCTGCATACACAGACCAAAAGCTAGAACATGTAATCAGCTAAATAGCCTTGTTCACTCATTCTGACACCGATTACAGCTACTTAGCTTAAAGACAAATAAAAAATATTCTTGCTACATTTTTTTACAACATTTCAACTAGGGATGCACGATATATCGGCCACCATATCGGTATCGGTTGCATTATTTATGCATTATTTTATTTATTTGTAAGACTTTTTTATGACTAAATTTGGTAATGGGAGAGTAAAAATATTTTTAAAACGTACACCGTTCAAACTAGGCTGCTTATGTTGAAGTGTTTGGGATGTGGCTTTTAATGATGAGACCTTTTTTGTAATCAGGCTCTCAAAAAGTATATAACAATTTGGATATAGATTTATCGGCCAACATATCGGTTATCGGCTTTCAAAAATAAAGAATAATCGGTTATCGGTATCGGCCAAAATTTTCATATCGGTGCATCCCTAATTTCAACTGTGATGTTACCCGATCTAGTGCCCAGGAGTGTCCGTATCTCGGCAGGGGTCCGCTACTGATGGGCACAGTGTTCCAGATGCCACTTTCCAAATTATAACTGCAAAAAAAAAAAAGTTGATATCCTAACACAATTCACTGTTCATTTCCATAGCTAAAGTGGAAAAAACATTGTTCAGACTTCAAGATGGCTTCAGAATTACACAAATTATCCAATATTCCTGTAATTAGTACTTTCTCCAAGTCACATTTCGAGTTTTGACTGAAATGTCAAATCCACAATGTTGAAATTGCTCACTATACAAAGAGTTCCCTCAGAGAACATTTAGACTCACAGTTTCTACCCTCAAACTGTCAAATTAATCTAACTCTACTCCTACCACAGCTCACACTGATTTATTATTAGTATTATTATTATTCCTGCTGTTCTACATTTTTATTTTGGATTACTGTCACATTTGCACATATGCAAATATGCCTTTTTGGTTATGCTGTACACAGATCTCTGAATTATCACTTACTTTAGAACCATCTGAAAGTTGCTGTAGTTAAAGGTGTAGCCACCAACAACCCACATGACCTTTTCCTGTACCACCGCCTTATGGGATGCTCTTCCCAGTGATGCTCCAAAAGGCTTCACTGTGGGCATGATCCAGTAAGACTCTGTGGAGGGCACTGTTAGTGAGCAGTCTGGACCTGAGAGAGAGAGAGAGAGAGAGAGAGAGAGAGAGAGAGAGAGAGAGGGAGGGGGGGGGGGGGGGGAGACTTC